GTCAATGCCCATGCTCTACACTGTTAATGTCCGAGCCATCGTCCATGCCAGTGCCCATGCTCTACACTGCCATTGTCCGATCCATCGTCCATGTCAATGCCCATGCTCTACACTGTTAATGTCCGAGCCATCGTCCATGCCAGTGCCCATGCTCTACACTGCCATTGTCCGATCCATCGTCCATGTCAGTGCCCATGCTCAACACTGCCATTGTCCGAACCAATGCCCAGCCAGTGCCCATGCTCAACACTGCCATTGTCCGAACCAATGCCCATGCCAGTGCCCATACCAAGTATGCACTGTTGACCATGGGCAATCCCTCGGGTTTTCTCTCGGTCGTTGCCCATGTCAGAACATAGGGGTGTAACACTAGTCCATAATGTTAATATTGTCTCCCTTTAGTCACTGCGGGCTTCCAGCAGTAGAGAGTTTTGGATCAGGGTCCACCCAAATAGACTTTCTCTAAAAGGCATTCACATTAGTTAGTGTATGGTTAAGCTCTAAATACCACAATCCATATCCATTCCTTGGCAATGTGGGACTAACATCCACTCATGGGTGTTACAATCCCATCCCCTTAGAATAGAGCCGTCCTCGGCTCTGCAGTACACTCAGTATAGTCCCAAAATCTCTGACGTTCCCTGCTAAGTGCCAAGTACCTGACGCTCCCTATGCCTTTCCAGCGTACTCTCACCTACAACAGGGGACCCGCCCTGGCTCTGATATCATCTGTAACGCCTCGGGATTTCGTCCTCGCTCATCCCGGTGCGCCGAGCACCATACTAGTCCCTAATGTCAATATTGTCCCCCTTTAGTCACTGCGGTAGAGGGTTTTGGATCAGGGTCCACCCAAATGGGCTTTCCCTAAAAGGCCTTGACATTAGTTAGTGTATGGTTAAGCTCTAAATACCACAATCCATATCCATTCCTTGGCAATGTGGGACTAACATCCACTCATGGGTGTTACAATACTCTAGACCTCTTACTTGGTTAAGTATTTATGTTCTAACTTCTAACCAATAGAGCTATGAATCTATGGCTAATGGTGATGAAGGCGTAGTACCAAATCCGGATCTAGCGGCATGGACAAACACTGACAGGTTGGTAAAAGCTTGGATTACAGCAACCATCTCAGAAGAAGCTCTTGGAACTGTTGTTGGTCTTACCACTTCTTCCGATGTTTGGAAGGCTTTGTGCAATACTTACTCACAAGATTTTGAGGCTCGCGAGTTTGAGTTACTTCTCAAACTTCAACAAAGGAAAAAAAAAGTCTGCTTCACTTGATGACTACATCCGGGATTTCAAATTAACTTGTGATCAACTCAATGCCATTGGCAAACCCGTGCTTGATCAGAAAAAGGTATTTTGGCTTTTAAGCGGTCTCGGACCACAGTATGAATCTTTTTCCACAGCCATGCTTAAGCCTTATGTTCCTGCTTATAATGATTTGATTCCATTATTGCATAGTCATAAATTAATTCGTAAGTCGTCTCCTTTGTCTGAGCATCCAAATCCTGCTGTTGCATTTGTTGGAAAACATTCTACTTCACGCAATCAGTCGAAGCGTGGTTCTAGTTCTTCCTTCAATTCAAGATGTCGAGGTTTCACACCAGCCAGTTCACGGCCGCCTAATAATACTCATCGCAATGCTCCACGCAATCCTCCTCCTCACAACCAGAACAATGGTATTCAATGTCAGATTTGCAAAAAGAGGGGTCATGAGGCTCTCAAATGTTGGCATCGCTTTGATTATAGCTATCAGGATAATCAGGTTCTTGAAGCCTTAGCTGCAATTCATCTTAATCCACCTGATGAAGGTGACTGGCATCCTGATTCCGCTGCCACAGCGCACATTACTGTTAATCCATGTATACTCTCTAATATAAAGAATTATAAGGGATTTGATTCTGTCAAGGCCTTTTGGGGAAAGCCTATTTGGGTGGACCCTGATCCAAAACCCTCTACTGCTGAAAGCCCGCAGTGACTAAAGGGGGACAATATTGACATTAGGGACTGGTATGGT